AGTGGAGGTGTACCACCACGGTCAGTGGGGGACAGTGTGTGATGATGACTGGGACCAGTCTGATGCTCAGGTTGTCTGCAGAGAGGTGGGCTGTGGGGAGGCTGGAGCTTCTGTAGCTCTAGGAAGTGCCAGGTTTGGAGCAGGAAGAGGCCCCATTCTTCTGGATAATGTCCACTGTAGAGGGAATGAGCCCACACTGCTGAGCTGTACATCAAAGGGTCTGGGAAATCACAACTGTGGTCATTCTGAAGACGCAGGAGTAGACTGCACAGGTAGAAACTCTCCAGATTTATATTATGTGTATTTATGTTTTTCACATTAAGGAAATGTACAACAAATTCTGTATTAATATAGAGATATAAATCGCTCTAATTATACTCTATTGATCAGGACATAACTACATCGACAGCGAAGGCCTCGTACGAGTCTGATTCACTCACAGTCTTGTGTCCCAGTGTGACATGAAGTCACTGAATCTGGTGTAGAAAGTAATTCATGTCAAGACTGAGCAGCAGCTTGCCCATCAGTTGTGAGTTGTCTGCTGGTGTCAGAATGTAGTTCATTGTTCACACATCATAGTTCATAGATCCTACTAGAGGACACCTGTGGCTCTGTGCTGCTCATTATTTCTAAAGAAACTCCAGACGTGTCTTCAGCGCTCTGGAGAATTTCAAACACACCGAGGTCTACAACAGGGCTGCTGATCCTGTGACCCGTTGGTGATCTCTTTCATGTGTGAGAACATTCTCTCTGTCCTTCTGTACAGACAGCAGTAGAGCCTGACTGGTCAGTATCAGTGATCAGATCACCTTCATGTACTGTACCTGAAAACACACAATTCACCAGGACAGCGAGCCAACAGATTAGTCTTGTATTGGCATTTCCTGAGATCTACTGTGTTCAGCTCCAGAGTCATCTGTCAGACTGTTTCTTGTTGAGACACAGCAGCCAGGCAGTTTCTTGAATAAGGTTTCAGTGTCGCTCAGTGTCCATTGTTGACACAGGAGAGGCTTGGAAAGACCAGCTGGAGAAACCAGCTGGAGAAACAGGAGTGTGTGCTGAAGCTGCGAACAAACGGAATCTAATTCAACTGGAAGTACTCCACTTCAACTTCCCTTGTCTGGTGATCTCTTTCATGTGTGAGAAGATTCTCTCTGTCCTTCTGTACAGAGCAGCAGTAGAGCCTGACTGGTCAATATCTTGTTGAGACACAGCAGACCAGCAGTTTACCTGAACTGGCCTGTCCACTGCGATTCACAGTGTTATTGTATTGCAGGTGCAGCTGAGTTCTGGGGAACTACAAGTAAGATTTTCACTCCCTTCTCTATATGAAAAGACATTTTCTATATCTGCTTGTCATTACATTTTTCTACCTTGTTTCAAGTCAGTTTGAGAATCGGCAATATTCATGTTAGAAAGTAAAGAATAACGACTCACAGCACAGCAGCTTGAGCAGTTTGAGACTGGAGCACCTGTAGTCTGTCACAGAAGCAACAGCAGGTGCTTGTTCTCTCATCTGAAGCCCTTGTGCAGGAGCAGTCATGTACAGTTCAGATAGATCTGTCCACCTTTCTCAACATTATTGTCCTTCATCAACAGCAACAGTATTCATGTTCTACACACAGAGACTGTCTCTGTTACACATACAGTATTGTATCCATGGTGTTTATTATCCTGTTATTATTAAATCAATCCTTTTCCCTTTCAGAAATCCCAGATCTCTGGGAGACTGCAGGTACGTATCTTCTGACCAAACATCAAATCGTCCCAGTGGAATCAGTCTGGGCAGCACAGCCGTGGGTCAGTTAGGAGTGCTGCCTCACTGGTCTTGGGTCCTGGGTTCAATTCCAGACACAGACGCCCAGTGTGTGGAGTCTGCATGGCCTCCATTGTTTCCTCAGTTCATGAGTGTGTATAGACTG